AAAATTAAGAAATTGTATTGTACAAAAGAAAAAATGAGTTTATTCAGCCATAATATGCCAATTTACTTCCTAATCTTTTTTACTAGATTTGATCATTTTTCTTTGTTGCATACAATGAATAAATTTTGAAGCGCACATTTATACAAATGTACATTTTTAACAACTTTTGTTAGTAAATATAATCTGATGTATCTGACATTAAATTAATTTTTAATTTAAAGATGATATAGAAAAATATCTGATTATTTTTAAAGTTACACTTTATGATTTATAATTGCAATTTTGATAATCTTTTTAATAATAGCTTTATCAAATATGAAAGTGGCGCGTCGACAATCCAGACGGTTAAGTTGCGGAATGGATTTTCTCCGCAAGGAGAGGGAGGACACAGTGTGTCGGCTAAAAGCATTTTTGCGTCGGCCATCATGGGGCTATCATCCACCATCGATCCGCTTTATTCATAACTTTCGCTGACCGTTGCTGTAGCCGAGGACACTTTCTTTTTATCTATAGAGTAGCTTTCATCATATGTGTTTTACAATCTGTTATTAATGCATTCATATAAATTTATATAAATTCATGCTCGCTTAAAATTAAGTATCACTGCTGTTAAAATTTCACATTAATCAATTAGTAATTAAAAACAAAATCTATATACAATAAAAACGTTATTTATGTATTTTATTATATAATATAATATAATTTTTTGAGCAAAATATATGAAAATTGTGAGATCTTAAATATAATAAAAACTTAGAATAGCATAAAAATAGAATAGCATAGATCCTCTGTTATAAATATTTTCTGTAATCGTTAAAGACCAGATTATATAAATTCCTAGAAAACTTGGTTGATATATGCGGTTGATATTACTGTTAGTGGTGAAATTAGTATGTTAGTGATGAATCGTTCGGCCTTCGTTCCAACAGCGATGCGGCACGTCGCCGTTCAGAGTCCATTCAGAATATGAGAATATGTCGTGTCTTGTCAGGCAGCTTCTTTTTCATGGAATATCTTCGGTAAAACCTAAGCAACGTAGAAAAACCTTTCGTGGGCTTCGCTTTGTTGAAGGTGTGAGATTACAAAGGAAAAGAGGCAAGGAGATGGAGGTGTGTTTTGTGTATTGGGACAATCCTGTGAACCCCATGCCGAGTTATCCAAGGATTTCACGACCGCATGTCCTGTAAATGATCTGATGGACAATGTATCGTTTAAGCCTCTACTTACCCGATCCTTCTTGCATTAATGTAGGAAAGTCTTTTAACAAACTAGTTTTGCAAATACCTCTTGCTTTCGAGAAAATCCGACTTGCGGAATTTTCAGATTTTAGTATTAATAGAAATAAAGATTATCTATCGAACATTTTATAAGATTTAAAATTCAACATGCAATAACTTACAAGATATTTTAAAATTAGTATATATTAATTTTATTATTAAGTAGTAATTTTTTTTAAATATTAATTATTTTAGCTTTTATTTAACGCTTATTATTATTAAATGATACATTCAATAATTATTTGATATATAAACTTTTACCAAATCAATATATTTTATTTATTTTATATCTAAAAAAAACGCGAGATCTTGGATATTACGAAAAGAGATTTTTATTGTGACTCGAGACAACCTATTAAGACGTTCCGCGCTTGCGACGATACAATTTCTAGCATTATAATTTTCTGTTTCGTGTAGAATAGCACGGCACGATCACGGCAGATATTCACGGTCAGACAAATCTGTCCTACGAATTGTTAGCACATGTCCGCGTATGCCGACAAAGCGGACGAAACTTTCCCGCTGGGTCGTTAAAGCCAGTGACAAATCTCTCTTTCTGTCCTATCCGCATCTCAATTTTCCTGACAAATGTCGGAAACGCGGTAAAAAATTTTTCTGTAATTGGAATGTATAATTTATAAACAGTTTACAAAAACTTAATGGCATTAACGTTTATTGAAATTTAATGTAACGTTTCTCATTGTCAAAATTGTTATCTGTATTAAAACATACCTCCAATTTAAATGCCACAATGCTTTTGTTAAATTAAATGTAACAAAATGACAATATTCTATACTGGATATTTGATGGATTTGCCTCTTTATTTGTCATCCTGTATTTGTCATCTGCTCTTTTTTGTTACGTATCTTCTGACGTCAGCTTTTTGTAAATAAGCAATCTGTCATTTTCGCAAAGAAATGAGCTGCTACGCCAATGAACAAGTTAGCGCATCATCCTTGTGGGTGAAACTCCGGGACAGATCCTAATCTGTCGTGTAACCTAGTGAGAAGTCCTATTGTAACGTTCAGATTCGTGCCTATCTTCCAAAAACGCGCGTTAATGGTTGACAGTCCCCGGTAGCAAAGTAGCCTTTATGACCATCGAGAATTCGTGTAGCCTTGATTCCTTTTCATCGTCCTTTCCAAACTGTCCTGTTTCCTATTCAGTTATTGCAGTAGACTGTCACACGAGTTTTTCAACTGTACTAGGTGGACTAACGTGTCAAGGTGAAGGTATGATACTAGAAGTGATATATTTATTTCAATTCACATAACACGTGTTTATATGTGGATTTATTAGTATATTTATATAGATGTATTTATGCGAATTCTGTACTTCTCTCGTTTATAAAAAATGTTTATAAATGCCAATTTAATATTAATTTTGTTATATTATTAATATGGAGAAGTGGGCGTTAATAAATGCTCTGATTTAATTTCTGATTTTTTAACCCTTTAAAGTACATATTTTTCTGATATACAAATTCCTTAAAACTTGATACAAGAAATTTTTGGAGTCGTTGATTACAAGTAGGTTATGCAATCAGATTTTGAAAATTTTTTAAATTCAAAATAGTGGATCTGACGTGGAGCACTGAAATTGCAATATTGATGCCACCATTTTGAATTTTTATATTTTTACTTATTTATATTCAAAATCAGTAATTCAAAAAACCAAATTTGATATTGATTATATCAAATCCTACGATTTTTTACAAGTTCATCTTGTACTTCTTGAAAATTTATTTTGGCTTCAGAGTTGAAATTAGTGACTCCAAAAACCTTCGGTTTCTTAATTCTTAAATTCAAAATTACAATACACATAAAGTACATAATTAAATATATACGATACAAAAATAACCGTCAAAATACGCTTTGCGTCCCAATTCTAAATAAGAATTCTAAATAAAGAGTAGGAATAAGATGAAAGGCTTACAAAAGAATAGGAAGACGGAGGATTGAATTATAAATCGGGAAAGAGCGGCGATTTGTGAATGAAAAGGAAGTGTCAAAGTAAACCAAACGCCTTGTGGTCATCCGATGTTTTTGAAAGACGGAAGGATTATTCATAAACTGCGGATCTTTCGAAGAGTTTTCAGTGAAGAAATATTTTCTATTACTTAAAGCGTGCTCTAACCAGGATTATTTACCTGTAGAACCAATCTTTATCTACCTGTGTTATTGATTTTTTTGAACGTATATTAGTTGTACTTAAGGCCAGCAGGTGGTGTAAGCCTACAGGTCAACTATTACAAATAATTAATCAGATATAAAATCCTGATAAATTTTTTAAAGCTGCGACAAAGTTTACAATTGTCGTATTACTAATAATGTAGTTATACTTGCCCTAATAATATTTTTCTTCATACTATGAAGAATTCGTTTGTTTCAATTTTTGATCAAGAAAATTCAATCTGTATGAATTAAAAGAATAACATCGAGATAAGGGAAGATTTTTCTTATTGAAAATTTATAAACGCGATAAACTTTGCAATTACAGAACGAGAGAGATAATTAGCTATTTTATTCATAAATTTACTTTGCTTTATTTATTCTAAATATCTAAATCTATTTTATTAATAATTTTATTAATTTTACTTTGTTTTTCTGATACATTTTTAAATTGTTTTAAATGTGTATTGACATCATGAAGTACAAAATGTTTTTATAATTTAACATTAAAAAATATTTTTTTTATTTATTCATTTATAAATCTGTTATTGCTCGTTTCTTAACCGCTAAACATTTTCTGATTATCCTTTTTGTTTTAAATGTTAAAAAAAAATACGTATGATAGTGATAAAAAATCAAGTAGAATTTCATATTTATCATTTGTCGTTTAAAATCTTTAGAGTACATTAAGTCGTATTTTATTTTTGAAATGTATATTTGATGTTTATTTAACGATACTTTTTATCTCGAACGATGATAATTATTGCAAAAGATCACACTTGAATACGACTGTTAATGATCGAAACGTTTTCGTAAATGGAGGAGACAACGAGGTTCATGACAGAAGTGCAAAATGTGTTTTACCACACAAGGCGAGGGTGACGAGGAGAATATTCGTAGCTTCCCGTTGGCAAATGGGGTGTCCAGGAACGACGCCGACGCATCGGGGCGAGACGCTTGGTCGGCCAAGCGTCGCGGGGCGTCGTCGGAGACCGCGCGCTAGACAATTGAAAAAAATCACTTGTCTCGCCCTAAAAGTAGGGACGACGCTTCGTGGATGCTGGAGCGGGAAGTCAGGGCAGATGCAAGGGCGATGAGAGGACGATATCCGTGAGCGACAGTCCGTTAAACGCAATGTTCCGGATCCGAAACGCGGTTGCGGTTTCTCGCCGCCGGAAATATACGGTGCTTGCTTACGTGCCACTTCGCGCACGTGCACCGATCCAATCCGAAAAATAATTTCATTGCGCGACTTAGGTATTTACATACGATGAAATTGTGCTAGCAAACCGATTAATTTTATTGTAATCGAAGGTACGCAAAAATTGTTTCAACTTTAAAAGTTAAAATTTATTTTTTTTTCGTACCCACAATACAAATATAATTTTTTGTTACGTTACCAGCTACTATAAAGAAAATTTAACAATAGTAGATATATGCTCGCATAACAAACACTTCATCATATATTAATGTATTAATATCTAAATTTTTTCATGTTTGGTATTAATTATTATAATTAGTAATTTACGGAGTAATGTTGGTGGTGTTTCAGGTTCGCATAGCCGGCAGTGGAGTAAGAGGCTGGTTGGACGCATCTCACGAGACGAACAATTGGCTGAAATATATACGAAGTACTGCTAGCTCACACGCAGTGAACATGCGCCACGTACTCATCGGCGGTCAGGTAAGGGAAATTCAATAACAAACGTAACTGATGATTGCGAAATCTCGAAAATCAGAGATACGATATTTTGTTATCGCTATAAAATGTAACAAGTCATATCCTTTTGGTTATGCGGCATCGCTAATTTAATCTAGGTATATCATAAAAATTAAAAACAATAAGAGAACTTTTAAGTTATTGATTAGCCAAAAATGGACAATATTAATAACCAATTAGAATCGATATTCGTCTGTTTCGTAACCCACTTTATAGCGGCGCAAAAACACGCGTACAGATCGGTGATAAGATAATTTCGCAGAGGAGTGTGTATTATTGGTATCGCTAATCGGCATCTGCGATCTTCAGCTTCGATCCGGGTGCCTTGTAGACGTGTATAAAAAGAAATCCTTCACTTCTTCGCTTCCTGTGAGCAAGTAGGCGTGCACAAATAATTATTCCACATTAAAATTGTATTGATTGGAAATATTTGCAGTTGTTGATAATTAAAAAAATACGCACAAGTTACTTACCAAACAATTTATTTTATTTAAATTAGACGCAAAAATATTTTCTCTATTTATCTTCATAGTTTTCACTGTTGTAATATTAACGATACAAAAAGATTAGGCTGCACCATTATAAACAAAATAATTCTCTTTTAGACGCTTGGCAGCCACTCTCTGATTCACCCTCTACTTAACTTTTATACGCAACTGACACCCGATCGACAGTTGCAGTTAACAGGAAACAATAATTACGCACCAAGCAGAATTTCAATTTATTGCACATATGTCATCGATTGTTAAAAAACTTATTAGTACTTCAACTATCCAACCATATAATTCAAATGACTGTCTTCCTGTAATGCACGCATAATTTTTTTTTGTTAGAATCTATTCAATAAACTGTTACATTTGTTGTTCAATAAAGAGAAGTAAATTTTATTAAATTTTTAATGCAAAATAGGAAACAATTTGAGACCATACATTTACAAAACATACGTATTTTAAAGTAGAGAATATCAGACTTCGAATAAGATTAATCACTGCAAGTTTTAAATAGGTTTTAATTTCCAAGCGATCTCTCAATAAAAGGAAATATGTATAACAAAACAGATTCTTCCTCTAATCACCTTCAAAAGTACTTCGTATTCGTATATGATTGGCCATCGAATAGACGTATAAACGGAAACGATGGAGGTCACGGTGTCAATTTAGGGTCGAGCTCGTGCCTCTGTCCATTTGGCTCTTTCTGTCTTTCTCTTTGTGAACCGCGGCACATGGTATGTTGTGGGCGCGACGTAAGCTACATGTATACAGGGTGTTTAGTTATTAAGTCACCCCACGGGGTCGTTTCTCTGACTTCCTATACGCCCTCTCGCAATCGCTGTGGGAATGGGGGACGCGACGCTCTCTATCAGTGCCCTGCAGAATCGTCGTCGTAATGATGCTTCGGGGGCCCCGTGACGACACTATAAAAATCGTTTCATGGCTTCCCGACGCTACCGAACTCTATAGAATTGCATATGCAGATTATGTGCCGCGTGTGAAGGGATTCTCTTTAATAAAATCGAGACGCGAGCAGAATCGCCCGAAACATCAATGTGGCATCTACAATTCAAGAATTTTTTTCTCTTCATTGATATTATTACTAATTTATTGGATGTAAAGAAAAGGATCATGTACTGCTGTTATTGCAATATGTTCGTGGTGATACTTTTATCTTTAATATAAAAATGTAATTTCACGATAGACAAATTTAGTAAAATGTTATGCAACTAATGCAATTTTTTGTAGAATAATTAAATATATATTTTTGCAGACTATTTTGTAAAAATTATATTTAATAATTGTTATGCAGAGAGGGAGAGATACAGAGAGATACCTATATTTAGATAAAAAAAAAATAATTTTAGTATAACAATTATATAACTTTACAAATTTACAAACACCTTGCAAAGTTAATTTTTACGTCTCAGCACTAAATTCCTAGCACTATAAAAACAAAGAATCTTAAAATTATTTTGAAATATTTGTGCTATGCTGCTGAAAGATTTAAGAATTGAACGTTATTAAATAACAATTCTGATAGATGGTGTACGAGGCTGTTCGCGATATTGCAACGGGCGAAGAGCTTCTGCTGGGTCTTCGGGAGCCGCTTCAGCTGCAGGACATGCTGGGCGAGAATACAACCGAGGATAGAAGCGATCGAGAAACTGGTGAGCATCCAGTCACGCAAGAACTTGAACTAGATAATCCCCCATTTATTACCAACAAATCGTTCTATACGAATGAGGCGTCGAAGCTTACCTGTCCAGGTATTTTTAGACGATACAGAAAAGAAATATTGTTTTAATTTATTTTAATAATAACTGAATAATAGTTTTGTTGTATTTCTGTTTCATACAACAAATATATAAACGTAACTCTTTTAACTTCGGTAAATCGGATAACATTGTTATTTAAAAACATTGATAAATACAACATCAACGTTGATAAAATGTCCATTTTAGAGATTGAATAAATAATTTGAATGAACAATTTAAATATAAATAGAAAATAAACAATGCACACACAGCATGACTTATTATTGAGGGGAGTAATGTCTACAAAAAAAAGGATGAAAACAGAAAACACGAAATAAAATAATATTGAGATGGCCGGCAAGATATCGGAGTTCACGATCGTTTCGGCACGGCTTTACGACTTTCTGTGCCGATACACATCGCGCACGTTGGCAGCTCGTGCGCGTACAATTACGCGTATGAACGCAAATGAAGGGCAGGGGCAGGTGTTTTCCGAAACGACGAATCGGGGGCGGGCAGAGGGTAAATCGTGGATCGTTGTGTGCACGAGCTGCTCGTCATGCACCCTTGACTTTGGCGTGATTCACCTGGTCGGCCGTTGCATATTAACCCTCGTCCGGTAATAAGCGCTGATTATTTGCAGATAGACGTGTTCGAGTCACATGTCGCCGTGCCCCGTGTCGCTTCGGCTTTTGTCCGGAACCATCCTTCTCGTCCGTCGCCGTACGAACAAAAACACTGCGCGAGCTTGTCATGAGTATTAAGATTTTCCTTTCATTTTTTTCAATTAAAAATTATTATTTTATCAATTTAATGTATTTATATAAAATTGCATATATACTCTCTGATATACACATTTACGTACGAGATATTTTACATCAATGAGAAATTAATTAGTTTATTTTAAATTGAATTTTTTAAAATATACTATGCTTAATTTCTTCTATTATAGAAAACATCCTTCTTTCTTTAATTTAATATCATAATATTAAAACGTATACTGATTTTTAAAATTAACTTTAAAACATCCATTTCGACGTATCCGTTTAATTTAGTTTATCGCTCATTAGATTTTATTGTGTGGAGCATTGCGTCATTAATATATTCGGGATATTTACGAAGAAGGGTAGCGTCTACGTGCCTCAGTGCTCGACAATTATCTGGTTGTAACTTCTGCACGATGGTCAAAATCTGGATGATGACTTAGGTAGGGCCGAATTAAGGGCTGGAGGGTTATATGCGACACCCAGATGTCGCGACAATTAAAACCGGGCTTATTGTCGAAGTTCTGCCATCACAGAATCTACGGTTAATTCGCCCACAGTTTTTCGTCATAATTTTAGGAAATGCTCGTAAAATGCGTCTTTGCGCATGGAAGATACGCCGTTCGTACTAATAGGTTCATTATTAAATTTTCCCTTAACGGAGCCAGTGAAGAGTAAATTATTATTATTAGTAAAATATCTTTCATTTAGCATGATTACTGTCAAAAAATTTAAATTCGATATTTAATTATATAGAAAGAGTTTGATAAAGTTTGGAATAAACATCAATCTATAATTTGCAACACACTCTTGATAGAAATATAATAAAATCCATTTTCAATATAGTGTTTCGTTTGAATTTTCTCAATTGTTCAAACATAAGAAAATAGTATCACATACCTTTTATCATACATTAATTTTTTATTATGCATTAACGTACCTATAAAATCTATGATATCTAAAATATAAAAATTCAATTCATAAAATAAACTGTATTCTTTTTCATTGATAAAAATGCCTAATAATGCTTTTGTCAAACAACAAGATCACTGGAGTGCTTACTTACATACACATTTAAATAGAATGGTAGAGCAGATTCCAAAAGGGAAACGCAGTTTTATGTGATAGCTTTAGTAGCGCAAAGTTAAAACGGTAATTAAATCGAACTCACCGATATTATTACTCAAAATTAATTTAGAAATTAGGAATCTTTTACGATAATAGGCAGATTAGATTGCAGAAGAAATTACGTCTGCAAATTTATTTCACTTTATATTAATAATATAAATCCTCTTTAGAATCATTACATTATTAATTAACAATGAATATTAATAAAAAATCTAATATTTATTTAACAAATTATATTTATGTAAGTTGTACGTAAATTTTGCAATTATTTAATTTATTTTAATATAGAGAGAGAGAGACATTAAGTAGTCATTTATTAATAATTACTGTTATAAACTATATAGTTGATACATTTTTGTTAATACCGATTCTGTACATCTTTATTCTCGGTGGACACGCAATTTTACGCATTAAGAGAGATTAATGCCGACTTTAAATGGCATAAGAGTGGTACTGTCGTTAATCCAGTAAAGCCATTTTTACAAGGGAATCTCCAGCAAGCTGGTGCGTGCAGTAGGAATAATGATGTCAAACAAACGACGTACGCTCCGTATCAACCCTTGCGAGGGGCATCTGCGCCGCGTTTCTCCCTCGGACGGATCATTTTTTTTCGCGGGGAAAGAGACGGGGAGCGAAGGAAAAAGATGCGAGGAATCATTTTAACACGCCTACGTGGGGTGCGCGTAGTGAAGCATTCAACCGGAGTTGTGTGTTAACTTAATCTCGTACATACGTACATCTACGCCGAATATTCACATTAAAAAATTTATATTCCGCCTGCACGTGGCACGTTCAATTCGCCTTCAATTTTTATAGATACAGATCTTCTTTATCGTTAATATTATGTTATGCTTGAAAAGAAAATATCTTAGTAATAAAAAATAGAAATATTTTAATAAAATGACAATAAACAAGGAGATACTAAATAAATTTTTTTAATGTCATATTTCAATTAAATTGAAAGAGAAAGAAAATTTTTAAAATAATTAAGACAATATTATAAGTAATTGTAACTCTTATGATGATGATATTATAATTTTTAACCATTTAGATAACAACTTAATGTCATCTCTGTGTGTGCATATGTTTCTGTCGATGCGATACAATTAGTTGTGTTAGCTGCAACATTATGACCTTTCCCAGATATTTTTGGACTTACACGCAAGTTAAGTTGCGGTAACATGGCAGATGCAATCGTTGCGGGCAGTTATGATGACTTATGGCTGTGACTTTCTGCAGTGCTTGTTTTTTTTGTCGTCGTTTTCCCTTTTTTTTTTGCGCCCGAGAAATGCGTTTGTATCATCGGCATGTTTTCCGATACCTCTATTAGGGCAGCGGATAATTTATAGCCGACTATTGTCGATTAACACGCGCATAACCAGGTCTCAGGGATGGCCGAAAAAAAAGGGCACGGATCAAAATGAGAAAAAAGGGGTATACACGCGTATAAAAGGGCACGCGACACTCTTTCCTGAGGGGGTGGTGTACTCCGAGGCAGGGAGGTGCGTGTGACATGTTACAACCCCATCTGATTCATCGGACTAATGACACATTTATTTGACGTTTGATTCGAAATCGCTACGGTCGCGTGCGACAAATTTTTACTGAAAGATTCAAGCAGATATCGATTTTTCGTTTATTTCATCAAAGAAAGTATATTTCTCTCTTTCACTCTTAGCCAAATAATTTAGTGCAAAAAAAGTGTATCGCACAGGAAAAAATTTATTATTTTAGAAGTAAAGAAATGCTTCTGCAAAATCGTATGTTGTGTAAATTGTTGAGGAAAGAATTATTTAATAAAATTATTTATCTTTGATAGTTACATATAGCTACGTTGTTTGATATTAATATTCTAGGAAAGAAAAACTACTTAATTCTTTGGTAAAAATTTATTTATATCGTTTTCGCAGTAACTGCAAGAGAATTTAACGTAATTCAGTCTTAGCAAAGCTTCCTAATTTTAATTGAAAAAGAAAAAAAATTTTACAGAAGAAAATTTACCATTAAAAATGTATTTTGAATTTATAAGGACAGAGAAGAATGTGTAATAAACGAACTTATAGGTGAACGAACGAATAGATTTATTTCGAGTTATTTACGGATTTATTTTAATGATGTCGTTTGAATTGCGGACGTCACGATGCAGCAAGAACATTGATTTCCGTTACTTTTTCCCATGCAACTGCCAACTGACTACGCGACCGCGGGGGGTGTTGCCAGTGGATCCCACCTGTTGACTTTCCGCAACGTGACTTTGCTACTCCTTCTACGCTCTAGATTAACATAATACATTCAACCGTTTTTATAAATTTGAGAAAAAAAGAATTGTTTGAGAATATACGATATATTAATTACTTTCTTTCATTTCTTTCATTTCAATATAGAAAATTCTTATTAAAAAATATCAAAAAAGAAGCAATTACGTTTGTCATTCTATATTTATAATCTATTTCTATACATATTGAGTGTTGATAACATTTTTTTACTTATTTATATTATCTTATATATAAATTATTTATATAAAAACTTTATAGTGCTGCGTTGCAAAACAAATTATGTACATTAAAATATTTTTAAGATTTTTAATTCAGTATTCTTTAATATCCTTTCTGTACTTCTTGTACTTAAATTAGCATTTTCTTTGACTATCATCTCTGACTATCGTTATTTCGTATCTTTGATTTCTTGATTATTCTTATTTATTTATCATTAATTCGTTTTTTATTTGAATTATTTTCTCAATGCGTTTAAAAACGACGCTGTCTCAAGGGTAACGGAGGTCAACCGCATCTTTCATTGTCTAAATTCACGGCATGCCGCTACGAATTAGTCGTGGAGTTCGAGCGATTAACGTACTAAGGGGGGTTAACATGGCGTTGGGCGTAGTTGGTGGTACGGGGGTTGTGCCCGGTTCCCATGAAGGTCCGTTGGGGGCCATCACTCGACCATATGGTCGGAACAAGTGTAGCGGCAGATTTAAATAACCGTTGGAGATCGGATATCGTTCAAACTTCAGCTGAATTTTACTTGTACTCGCGATATAAAGATTAAAATAATTTTTTAATTATTTCTAAAAAAATTTGTTCTAATTTTTTTCAACTCCACTAATTCGCTTTTTTCAATTTGTTTGCTTATTTTTAATTACGTTAATTTTTTTTTCATATTCTATAATATTTATAAACAAACAAATAAATCGATAATAGATAGGTAAATTTTTACATGGAAATTATTTAGTATCTTTTGTACGTCTTATTTTACTAGCACTCGTGTTAGTTGCGTGCTCCATCATTGATAATCGCACTTTGTCTCTTTCACGGGTTTCTGATTTTACCTGCCGTTGCACTCTGATATTCGGGGGTGAAATGCCGCTGGGGGGCTGTCGGGACTCACCTGCGATTGGCTGGTCCCCAACGTCGCTTGTGCCAATAGCAAGCGATTCTGGACACCCCCGTTTGCGTTTGCAGTTACTGGACGGTATACCGCTAGCTAACGAAAACATTATTGTGTCTATTGTCTTCGCGATTGCTTGTGTGTCGGATCGAACTTGTTGAAAAGGAAGAAGTGACAGTGTTTAGTGAAATAACTTTGATCGCCAAGTTATAACCAAAAATTCGTGTGATTTTATAAGCGTATTACAGATAGAATAAATGTAGATCAATATTTAGCAGAGAGATTATTAACAGGACGGTAAATATTTTATAAAATAATAACTCCCACTCTCGTTTAATACTACTTTTGTTTAATGCTACTTAATAAATTATTTTATTTATTTTACTGAAAACTATTAGAAATCGTCGTATATGTTTGAAATTAACTTATAATTAAGAAGCGATATGCGATTCTTATCGCCTGAATTTCAAGAATAAATGCAATTCATGTTGAAGTTAACACTTAAATTAATTCCGCATCAAATTAATTAATAAAAAGAATCAATACTAGCGCAAATTTGTATACGAAAATTATTCAACAACAACCAAAAGCGTATAATTACGTAAATATTGTAACATCAATTGAGTAATTTGGCGTGAACTTTGCGAGTTTGTTGAAAATTATTTCCGCTATTTCTACAAAGCTAGTTAAATCATCGTCGAATTCCGTAGAACATCGACGTCTTCGTTTTGTAGATCGGGCGATACTCTACCGCTTTAATTTAATAATTCAGGAACAATCCACGAGTCCGCTTGTCACGCCACTCCTGTGGCCCTCGCGCGGTTCTGGATCACGTAATTCGCCCACACCATGACACGTCACGTATCATCGTTCCCTGGGGGTTGTAATTTATAGAGCTATACGATCACTCACGCATATATACACACACTTATAAACACACAAATCACGAAAAAATTGCGAGTTTTATTCGCGCTATTATTAGTGTGAATACTTGTGATTTATATTGTTGTATTCGTCATTTACAGCCTCTCAGCACAGTGGAACTGTCGATGAGGACAAAGAGGACGAGGAAGAAGGAGAAACGAGGTGCACTGTCTGCGACAAGCCGTTCCAAGATATCGAACTGTAAGTACTTATTGCGATTTATTATTATTATAATAATTTTATATTCTATTTTTAATATACTATAAACATGTAAAATTAGCTCATCAGTTAATCTCTTAGCCCTCTTTTTTTATGACTATTAATAGCCCTCTTTGTCTATGACTATTAATATTTATATTTACTCAGTAATATTTATGCCAAATTTATGCTAAATTGAGATAGAATAGTTATTTTAGTTATACGTATCCTGCAACAATTCTATAATGGTGAAACGCTTCTATTATCATATTTCCACGCATTCCATTATCCGAAGATTATTATCGTTGGCGCGACGATGCAAAGCGCGACTCATCAAGGATTCATGGCACATCATTATACGCTTTTCAAATCAGATGAGCGACGATTATGTACTCGGTAGAGCGATACGCCGGATCGAAAGACAACGGCACGGCCGACATTAAAGCGCTCACCGTGTCCGTCAATTTTCATCATCAATTATTAATTAATCGATAGAATTCAAAGAGTGGGAGCGTACTACGTAATCGCCTTCAAATCTCGGGGTTAGTAATTCGCGTTCGCGAGAGCCTTTTGTCACGCGAGCGATTTCAACAGTGCTCTTTGGAGTTCTGAGCATTTTGAGAGACGCCTTGCTCGATTGAATATGATGCTTAGTCAGCCTTCATTCTGCCTCGGGTCATTGTTTTTAATTATAGAGTAATTAGCATAAAGTTACGAAAAGTAAAATAATATTAAATGCTTAAATTTTAAAATAAAATAAAATAGAGGAGGCTCGTAGGAATAAAATTCAAATAACATACAATAAAAGAGGTAATGAGCCAAGCTAAATATACATGCTAATAACGTGTTAAATTTGTAAACAATAATTATGTTAATAATCTTGATTGTTAAAATCTATTGATGATAACCGCTATTTATAGGGTCAAAATATTTAGTAAAGAAAACTGTTGACAGTTTTATATTATTTATAAAGAAGATTATTGACATTATTGTTTAATACACGTTATTTATACACGTTTAATACAATTTAATACACGTTATTAGCATGTCTATCTTGCTTGACTCGTCCTTTTATTATATATTATTTGAATTAAATATGCTTATACTATTTTATAAATTATTTAAATACATTCAAATCTTTATAATTTTTTAAATAAAGAATGTAATTTTGTCACTAAATATTTCATATCTTATTAATTGCACACTCCATCCAAACATTATGCATTTTAGTTGAATATTAGTATCTAGTATGTGATATATAGGTATGTATATGTATTTATACATATATATATAGCCTTCACAATTAAGCGTCTTTTTTCTCACAAATGAAATTCTACTAACACGTTGTAATGCAATAGTAACGTCCAATTTTTCACGACTGCACTATAATTGAAAACAAAATATGCCATACTCTTCTCTCGTTAGTTTCTCTCTAGATGAGTTTGCGTCGTCCTTTTGTTCAATCTCATCTTGTTAACTTCTATTTATAATCAGCCATATTCGTCTTTTAAAATAATCGTAATTCAATATATATCTGCCATTTCTTTTACAACCAGTAAAAATAATTTACGTTATTAAACAACAAGTCAAGTGATAAAGTGTCAATTAAAATGATCAGATTTTCATTTCTACATCGTATTTCCATTGTTTCTATATCTACAGTTTGCGGTCTCTCATAATCAGTCGACATTAAACCGCATTCCCTGACGCGGCAGATTCACCTGTTGTGGGGCGTTAAACCCTGGGATTCGTAATCGGGCGCGCTAGAGCCACCCCCTTATGCATCATCGAAGGCGTCGCGTGCTCGTAGCTCATCTGGCGCAACACACCGCGTCGTGGCACCATGAAGGCACTATCTCACCACGAATGAGTTTCACGCGGCGCGTGTGTTCGGGGGTGTAAAATCAATGCTGCCGTACACACCATGGCACACCATCCCGTGTGACGATAACCCGTGTGCCTACCCCGTGACAACCCCCTTAGGACGGCTTTTCTTCGTGACGGCGTGTGTTCGTGCGCGGACGGCCGCCCTCTTCTTCATAGGGCGTGCGACCGTTATTGCAGAACCGACTCGCCACTGTGCAGCCGAAGTCACTTAGTCATCATCCAAGACTGCGCCCGACGCAATCTTTGTCGGTGCTGGTCGGTTATCGTATCACGTTTTACTCGCCCGATGGTGGTGCTTTGATTAAATGGTATAACTTCGCGGGCGCGATGTAAAGCGAGTAACGTCAGGAGATATTTTCATATAGCACTATCGTCATTCTATCGAATATTTAATCTAAATGAAGAAATAAAGTAAAATGTTATGTATTTCCTTTAGAAATATACAGATTATGCACGATCTCCAGCTTACCTTTACTTATAAATATTTGTTACTTTTTACTTTATTACATATCTCTCTCTCTCTCTCTCTCTTTGATTTATTTTGTCGCTTATATTGCAGTGAATGAAATCTTTGTATCTTTTGTTTTCAGATTGGATAGCCATCTGGTGACTTGTCACAGATATCCAGCGGAACAGCACCGTTGCGACAGCTGTCCCCGTGCTTACGCCTGGCGGCCGCTTCTGGTGCGGCACCGTGCTATCGTTCACGGCGATCTCAGGAACTATCCCTGCGAGAATTGTCCGAAGGTAAGCTTCAAATTCGCGACTCACTCGTCGAAACCAGACAATACCTCTCGGTCCAGTAGCATCTTCTAGTATCGCTAAAAGTCGAACATCCGGCAGGTCTTCACGGACCCATCAAACCTACAACGTCATATCCGAACTCATCACGTGGGCGCGAGAAGCCACGCTTGCACGGAGTGCGGTAAGACCTTCGCAACCAGTTCCGGCCTGAAGCAGCACACCCACATCCACAGCAGCGTGAAGCCCTTCCAGTGCGAGGTCTGTTTCAAGGCGTACACGCAGTTCTCCAATTTATGCCGGCACAAGCGCATGCACGCCGACTGTCGTATGCAGATCAAGTGCGTTAAATGCGGACAATCCTTCAGCACGGTAACGTCGTTATCAAAGCATAAGCGATTTTGCGACTCCACGACCCCGACCGGTCCGCCTGGAGCCATGCCTCAATTACCGACGCCAGCGACGAGTCCCTTTCTGGTGTATCCCCGACCTCCCGTGAGCCTACCAGGCGGTTTGCCTTTCTATCCACACGGTCTGATGGGTCCTTATCCGGGACTCTTCCCGAACGCTCCGAATTTTCTGAACACACCTCTGCTTTTTCCGCCGAAAATGGAGGAGGCCGAGAAGAGGTGCGACAGCCCGAAGAAGGAACGTTTCACTCCTCCGAGAGTATTGTCGCAACACAACAAAATCTCTCCTTCCACGGCGGAGGAAGCAACTTCTACGTTCAGGCCGTCTCCGGCTAGACCTCCGATTCAACCGACGCCGGAAAGTGACGACGATCTTTCGAAGAGAAGAGAAGCGGCTAGAAGCAACGAACGAAAAATGGAAACCGAAAGCACTTCGAAGGAGGAGACGACCGAGCAGCCGTTGGATCTGAGGGTGCAGACGAAGAAGCAGAACGTGATGTCAAAAACCGCGAATAGAAAAAGCCGCACTCCGTCGCCAGCGCCAGTGCCGATGGAGGAAACGCCGGCACCTCCCGATCCCCCGAAACCAGAGGAGGATGTTCCACCGCCGATGGAGCTCGAGTCTAAGGACATTCGAGGAAGTAGCCCGCACTTGAGGACCAGTCTGCCAATCGAACAACCACCGACCAACACGCCGCCCCACATGGCTTATCCCAGACCGATACATCCGATGTTCCTCGAAACGATGTATCGCGGTCCAGGATTCCCGGGATTTCCCAGCGCGCCGCCACCTCCAGGCGGAGCTACCCCGGAGTCTAGGCTGATACCTCCGCTTCCACCCTTCGCTCCACCGCGCGGGCTTCCTTTTTTAGGCTCGCTTATGAACGGGCTCAGCGGCGCTAGGCCAGGAGCAGGATTCGATCTGCTTGCCCGGCCGCCGCTGAGCGCGTTCCCTGGTGTGAAGCCGTTCCAAGAAGCCGTAATGCCGCCGCATCATCATCACCATCATCACCATCATCACCACGTTCACGGCAAGATGAAGGATCGGTACTCCTGTAAATTCTGCGGCAAAGTGTTTCCCCGCTCGGCCAATTTGACGAGGCATCTGAGGACTCACACTGGCGAGCAGCCGTACAAGTGTAAGTACTGCGAGAGGTCCTTCAGCATCTCGAGCAACCTGCAGAGACACGTCAGAAATATCCACGACAAGCAGCGGCCGTTTAAGTGCCCGCTCTGCGAGAGGTGCTTCGGACAGCAGACCAATCTTGACAGACATCTGAAGAAGCACGAGGCTGACGACGGTAGCGGGGTGGTGTCGGTCGCCGACTCGCCTGGGAGCAGCAACGAGAACGAGCGGGAGGACACCTACTTCGACGAGATCAGGTCCTTCATGGGCAAGGTCACCTACAGCGGTGAGAGCGGCTACGGGTTGCCGCATCATCCGGCCTATATTCCCAGTCGTCTGCACGAGATAAACGAGTCTAAGATGGAGGTCGAGTATGACGAGGACGAGGACAGCGAGGAGGGTGTGTCCCCTTTGGAGGAGATAGACGGACTGTCGCCGATCGAGGCCAAGGAGTCCCCGTCGCCCTCGTACGACCTGAAGCTGAGAGAGAAGCAGGAGCTGCTCAATAATAATACCGCGGAGCCGGTGATCGAGATTTCGACATAGCCCAGAGGTCACTCTGGGTAATCTACGTGGTCGCTTCGAAAGACGAGGAGAGCACGGTTTTATTAATGTACAGAACTATTGTGGAATATATAGGTTCGTCTTAGAACTCTCGATCGTGACTCGGCGGTTATTTACTTCGGGAATTAACGTCGATGCAGGATTATTTAGCTTAGAACGATCCGCGTATACTTCGACTTTGCAGAATATCGACCATTTGCTTATACAAAAGCGAACGATTCGCGAGTATAATCGGGTTATTATCCGTGATCGTATCCGCGACGATACGATCCGTGGGAGACAGTAAAATCCATAGGAGACAGTCTATAATAATAATTATAATTACACACTGATATACACACTGATGATTCCGTACCGGAATTTTTTAGAAGAAATTTAGTAAATCCCATTATACTTAAGTAAAACAGGTGCTCTGTAAAAAGAAAAAAAAACGTAAAGAACTCGACGAACATAACGAAGTCCCCAAAGATCCTTGTTACGCAATCCTTTTTTACACTCCACGTTTGTTTGCACTGGAAAAGCGTATTGTAAAGATCAACATGAGTGGACCATTTAGTCCCTTTCTTACACACGCATACCACAAGCTCTTCTATAGTCTAGTTCTATAGTTTATACAGACTCGTTATGAATGTAAACGCGCACGAAATTCAATATTATCCCCGTTCCCGCCGCCTCTTCGTCTTCAGCATTTGATTAAACGAGGCGCATATCCCTGTAATATTATTTATTGCTATTATTAATAAAATTAATTTATCGTTATTATTACACCGTCGCTCGGCAAAGGGGATCGTACGTCATAAGCGAGAACGATCAAACCGCGTCCCTGCGAGAGCTCTGCGAACTGTTAAACGACTTGCGATGTATCCACGTTGATCAACGATCCAATCATCCGTTGTATCTAGATCCTAAATATGTCTACATGCGCGCACTATTCTGGATTGATTTGTTTGTGGAATAACCGTGTTAGTTGCATCGCGTTCAGAACGCGAGCACCCTTCGAGAGTTCGAAATTAGATTGTTGTAAAATCCCTATTATAAGATGACTGTAATCACGCTTCAATCAGTTCAATTCGAATCTTGAAGACTTTCCCCGGAGATTGTTGGATTTTGTTAGAATATAGTTGAACGAAATGACATGCTCTACAGGAAAGAAAAATTCCATCATCTGCTGGATGCAGAATCTAGCTACAGTCAGACTTAGGATCTGCGAAATATAAAAGAAAAGTGTTTCGCATCGTGTTCGTGTATCAAAATTGATGTATGTTAGTCCGCGAAGCCAAAGCGACGAGAAGGAAGAAATTAACTTAATTAACGCGTGCCGCGTGTAATCACACTTACTATGCGCGCACGAGAATGTGTATAATTAAATAATTAGAAGGCAACAAAAATCCTTTACGGAAAAACTGTACAAATTTCCACATTAGGTGATATAACATTTGTAAAGATATAAAAGATATAAAAGCAAGAGGTTTCAGCGCGATTTTTATTAATATATAAATACAATTCTAGAGCGGTTTCCTCTTGCGGTAGGCAAGACGGAAGAGAGCCATGCATGTAAGCTAACGAACGTTCCTCGCGTTTCACTCATCTAGTAGAAATATTAAAATGCGTGTCCCTAACGTTGTCATCGATGAAGCGAGGAAATTAATAATGACGAGAGATAAGCATAGTATACGCGTATACATGTGTATCAAGTACGCTCTCGCGATTAATAAAAAATGAAACAAAGAATATATCGTTCGTTTATAATCACCGAATTGAGGCTTGTTTTTTCACATAAAGGTTTTACGAATACACGTTCTACATATCTCTGTTTCTCTCTCTCTTTCTCTCTCTCTCTCTCTGTCTCTCTCTCATTATAAACGACATAATAAACTTATAAGATGATTAAGCATAAACACATTGAACGAATTACTTAAGGAAAATATTATTATGACGCTGTCTATCTATACATATTGTATAAAGGCATCCTGTATAACTTCATTATATGATTACTATTAAAATATTACACTTCAAGTTGATTACCTAAGCGATAATGCCACCTATCGATTTTCCTTTGCCTTGTATTCCTTTAATAAGATCTTAATTTAATTGTAAGATTTGCTATAATTTCATTATTTTGTACATAACGCAGTTTTAACAAATAAAAATAACATAAATAAAACGTAAAATAAAAAAATAATATTACATCTTCAAGAATAATTAATTATACGTACAGTCGTTAATGCAAAGGCAAAAAGATCCAATAAATTTTTTTTAACGATAGTAAAAATATTAAACATGTTTAGTTTATAAATCATTCTATAGTATATCATTATATTTATTCAAGTGAGCAATTATCAAAATATAAAATCACTATAATAAAAATATTAAATTAAGATCTATCTTTTAATTAAAAAATTTCAAGAGTAGTGGATATTATGTATTTATCTCATTTTTAACAAAATATGTAAGTATTTCAATTTTCACGATTAGAAAAGTCAAATACAACATGATATTTCTTCAATGCTGATTCTCTATTGACTTGTGCTGCACTCTGGTACTGCATACTTTGAGATGCACAACTTGATATTTATCAAATAATTGCAAATAAATTACAAAATTTATAAAAATGATAAGATAAATATGATAAAATGCATTTGACTTATGTTTTTTTATTAAAATAGTTTAGAAATTTGCAAAAATGCAAAAAGATTTCTCCAATATCGACAATACATAAAATCTGCTCTAAAGGCAAGCTGCAGGAGTTCGTGTCCATTCATCCTTAAAACGCTAGATTACGCTTTATTCCACAACTCGTATTGTTTGGCCGTAATTGTTTTTTAAAAATGAAAGTATATTTTGTTTAAATTAAAAAAAATTAAGTAGAGAAGAGACTGTAAATATTGTTTATGTTTTTTTGTAATTTTCAATAATATTGATAAATCTCCATGCTACACGTTAAGTGACCTGTTTATAATTCTTATTATCAATTTAATATTAATATAATATTGTATTAAATTTAAGAAATAAAAAATAAATATTGTAAAATCAAAAGAAACTTGACTATCTTTCGGTGATTAGACAAGTTAACTGACGGATGACCTGGCGTTGAATTAATGAAGGTTGAACTTTGCCTGTACTATACGATCGTTTGAATCGATCCTCGACGCCCACTCGATCCGACGTATTATCGTACTCCATTCGAACCCATTCAAGTCTGTCTGACTGAACAACAATGTTCCGCACATACATTACACAAACTCTTATCGTTGAATCGCCAAAGAAAACAAGTAAATGTCGCTGCGTGTAATTCAACGGTATAACAGTTATCACTCTAATAATGTCATTTAATTAAATTGCATTATAAATAAGGCACGTAGTTTATTTCTGTATTTATAATTATACTGTAAATCAACATATACATATAGAGTCATTCTATTTAAATTTATGTAAAACATTTAGCATCTTTTATTTAAGAATAAAATATAGTCTGTAATCACATGTTACATTTTATATTGTTAATATGTAATCAAGTATTATTATCTTTTTGCATTCCCGCGTTGTACTCACGGATCTTGGCTGCATGTAAGTGCCAAGGTGATAACATTGTTACGTAAAGATATTGCGGAAGAAACTCGGATAACACGCTCTCTAGTTTACGCTCTGATAAAATAAAAAGTCAAATTGATATTCTCGTTATATGTTACACTTAATACTATTTAAAGCTACGAATTTATTTGGATTCTTTAGAGTTGATTATGGAGCGTTGCGTTTAGGTAAGCATCATGTCGTAATCAAAACGCTTTTCTGTTGCAAAGCAAAAGTGAACGCAGTTTCAGAAACAAACTGACAACTCCGTCGAATAATTTCACAAGATTCTACCGAGATTCGTTACTTTTTTTAAATATTTTGCTCATTAATTTGCGTGAAAAATGCATCGCTCCACGTGTCAGTAAACCTTGCAGCTTGATTTGAGCGCAAGAAGAGCACCATCTTCATCAACAGTGTTGTAAAAAGCTGATATCCACGCCACATAACTCATCGCGACGTGAAGCCAAGATTTTTTCACCGCGTTGATGAAGGGCACAGACGAGGCAATCAAGAGACGTAGATAGAGAAAAGAGACACAAGACGGAAATTTGCTGTATAATATTTGAATAAATTTAATATCGTTAGAAGAGTGTGAAAATATTAAAGTATTCATATAATTTATATTATAATATAATATTTATATAAATGATATAAAATTTATAATTTAATTATACAATATATATAATATAAAATAATTAAAAAATGTATTTTATTATAAAATAAAGTGTAAATATATTTTTTATTTCACTAAAATGCGAATGTAAAATTCAGCATATAAACATGTAATAGATGTAAAATTTATTCCAAAATATTAAATTTAATAATTTAATCCAATTTTTTGACGAAAGAAATACATAATGGATCAATTATGTTCCTATCTCCTTCTGTTGTAAGACTGCCAGCGAAAGGTAATGACTGGTCAAGCAGAACACGTTTTTGGATAAAAAGGTCGCCAGTTGATCTATGCCGGAAGTATTTAAGGCGCCTTCAAAATTCTAGTAGCGCGATCGACGATCGCGTGAATGAAAGCTAGGATGCAAGTAGAAAGAAAGGAAATTGCGGCGAAGGGGAGGAAGGCGCGAGAGGATTTCTTTGTTGCGAAAAGGAGTCGGACGGCTCGCGTTTGTAGCTCAAGAACGGAGATAGGGGTATCGGCGATCGCTCCGAGCCACAAAAGAGCGGCCCGAGACAAGCGCGAGCGAGCCTACAACGGCATCGATGAGGCAATAATTCTACGCGCCAACGAACATTATTGCCAACGTGACGTTGACAAAAACGGCCGAGCTAATCACAAAATTCCACGCGGTCGCCGGTCTCGGAGCGGTCCCGCGCGTTTAGAAAGTGGAAAAAATCGTACCGGCTCGATCGATCGGCTGTAGCGGTACAGACCGATAGCACGTCGCTAATAGCTGGTGCTCTGCTATCCATTATCTATGATTTTTGATGAGAGCTATAATTAAATCCGCGCGACGCATCGCAAATTTCTTATTCCAGTTGCGCAAGTTCTGGTGATTTCCTTCTCGATTGAATATATGTATATGTAGATCAAATAAGAATTAAAATTGTACATAACAATTTTTTAATTGCGCGCGACAGAGCTGAGTTTTAATTGATTGCATGATCGTGCAAATATCGTTGATTTGCAAAACCGCGTCTCTGGAATCGTAAACTTTTCGAGCCGGTGACGTCAGGGTAAAGCAAAAAAAAAAAGAAGCGAAGAAGAAATCGGCAACGTAACGCTCACTCGCAGCACGCAATTGATTTATTTTCGGATTCCGAGAGAATCGAGGAACGTGCTTATTCGCCGGGCTCGCGGATTAAATGAGTCTCCGCGAGCGCGAATCCCGTCTTGCTTGGGATGTCAGACTCTCCTTTTAGGACACCAACCGACCAGCTATATCGAGTCTTGCACTCTCGTTTTTCTTATTTCTCATCTCGGCACGTCGCGCGTCTCCTTTCATTTTAACGCATGATCGCACACCCGATCTGACCGGCGCAACACACCCACCGATCTCTAATCCCGCTGTGTATGTACGCTGAGACGGCCGGTCGAGCTCGTAGATCGTGAAATAGAAAACGAATAGCCCGGTTGTGTGTGTGAGAAAGAGAGAGAGAGAGAGAGAGAGAGAGAGAGAGAGAGATGCACGATTATCCGTTTACAAATAATTTCCCGTCCGATAAATTATGCGCTCGGGGACGAAATTATTTTCACCCCGATGAATAACGGATTGTAAGTAATAGCGTAATAATACTAAATTTACGGTTCGCCTACCAAAAAATCCTCTTAGCTTCAGTATATCATTATCGCGATAATCAGCTTCCACGTAGTTTCACGCTGCTCGAGGACTCTAATAAGCTTGTGCACTGCCCAACGCGAAGCTATGCGAAGGATGCCGTCCGATATCCTTGAATATTTGCGCGATATTTTATTAACTACCTCTGGAGATGCTCATGCAATCATCACTTTACATATATGATTGTTACAAAAAGTTGTCCCGATCAACTTTGCTATCTTCTTCTGACGTAGTTAACTCGTATAATTAACTCGATCGCCGCCACCTACAACGATTCTCAAGCGTGAAGCGTAGCCATATTTGCGATTTTGTGAGATCGTTTTAATAATATAAACCATGATAGAATAACAACATTTTTTAAATAAATTTGCATAAATTATTTTTCATTTTAATTTATATTTTACATATATACACTTTTGTATAATTTTTATTAAATGTTTTAGATTTTATAGAATTTTAAAAGATTTATCTAGAATTTTACTTTCATAGTTTCTTTTTAATTTTCGATGTGACTAAAATATTTCCAAAAATTTAGAAATTTCTTTTATATCATCTTAAATATATATTGCTATTGTAAATTTTTCCAATTTGTAAGTTTTAGTCTATATTTTTAAAAAATTTACATAATTATCCATTGAAAAATATGGCATTGTTGTGAATGCCAAGTAATGCAAACGTTATTATTCTACTGGATAAAATAAGTATTTTTTAAACATATTATTATTTGAGGACAAGGTCTCTATATTTATTTATATCTATAAGGACATTTATAATTATGTTTTATTATGTAACAATCCTTAGAAACAGAATCTCGATCAATTTCTTCCTTTGTCCAGCGTCTGTGAAAGATAATGAATCGTGGTGTCAACTGTACGATAGTATCGTGCGTCCACCTGGACACATACATGTAGGAAGGACATTCATATCTCCAGGAAGGCAAGCTTGAAAAGCTCTCCCTCTCTATCTTTCTTCCTCTTTCTCTGTCTTTCTCTCAAGACGCCTAGGCAAATCGGTTTGCATTACTTTCACTGTTCGACGAAGTTCAGTCGGACTTGTCAGGACAGCCTTTCGTTCTTATCGTTCTCGTTTCCATCACTGGATTTTCCTGTGAAATAAAAAGGGGGGAGGAGAGAGAAAGAGA